GATAGAGTTTAGGATCCTTCCTCCTTCCTTATTTTAAGTCATTTGCTCTGGGAAAAGGTGAGACTGGGACAGAGACATCCCCCGGTTATTGTGTTCTCCTTAAATCCTAAAACGGGGTGCATACATGTGCTCATAGTAATTTTATTTTGTTCTCTTACACTTACTGTGGTAGGAGTTCTTACTCTGTGTCTTAAACTACTGGTTTTACTATGTCTGAATAATTTTCTTTAGCAGAATAAAATATTTATTAACACCTTTGATCCCAGCACATCTACGGCACTTCTTAGACAATAAGCTTAGTACACACCAGCACGATAACTGATGTTAAATCCACCAGTTGTGCCCGTGTAGAAAGTGTATAATGAGTCTTCTACCCTTTAAAGCTGGAGAAGGTGGAGTTGTCTGTGCAGAAAATATTCTGTGTTAAGTAGAACTTGAGGAACATCTGGTGTGTTCTGTCCCTTCGACTGTGTGAAACCCAAGCTGGGCTGCTCAGGTTTCTAATAAGTAGAATCACATTTACTAGTTTGCATTAGTGACATAGCAGGCATCTGTCTGTATCATTTTTCCCTGAAAAGGAGCATTGCTGCTTCAATAGCTATTAAAAAAAACACATAAGATAACAAAAGTTTCTTTTGAATGTATACACGTAGAGGTTTGAGGTGATGGCTGAATTGTGGCTACTTGCCTGTGTTGACATACACTGACAGTTGATCACCAAAATAATGTTTTTTCCCCAACTGGAGTTTTAAAAGTTTCTGTAAAAACCAAATGTCATTGTAAAAGTAATCAATCAAATAAGGGTTTGTACCTTACACAAAGGGGTGTATAGAATCTTCTGTGAAAATATGGACCTTTAACATTGTTTCATGTTGAACCACTTAACATTTAGAATGGTTTAATTTTAAATTGGTAATCCTTATTATTATGATGTGGTGAAAGTTGGCCTGGTGAGGACTGTACGTTACATCGTCCTGGTTTTCTTTAATTCATATCCTTCAATCTTTGTTTTATTTCAGGAGACATCAACAAATGGAACACAAATTAACTTAAGCCTACAGGAGGCTGGTGACACCTGAAAGAGGGTAGGCAAAATTGAGACGTAAGATTGTGTTCAAAACTAACTTAGTGGTGATAATGATGATGGTAGTGGAGCAAACTTAGGTAGGATGTGAAAAAACATGCTTACCTGGATGCTAGAAATGAACTGATGCTTGTAAATAACTGAAAAAAATGGAGAATGTGTTTAAATGTGGTCTTGAACTCAGGAGTTGAGTTTTTGTAGGTCACCTAATGCTTTGTTTAGCAGCTATTGGAAAAAAAAAAATATTCTTATTGAAAATGTAGTATTATGAATTATTTCTTACTATAACCTGCAGGAGTAATAATGTGGCTGATTCACTGCCCTCTTTTCATCTGAATGCTAAGTTCTGTCTTCACAAATTCACTGTAAATAGAGACTCTAGACTTTTTCATTTATAGTCCTAGGAAAGAGCATGATCAGTGGCTCCTAATCAATATTTTTATTATTTCAAGACAAAGTAAGGAAATGGATTAAGATTTTTATGCAGGATAGGAAACCAGAGTTTTGGGAGAGCTATAAAATACTGCTTTTTGTGAGGCTTCTTTCCATCTTTGCTGATCGGTGACATTCAGCTGGTTTCCCAACATTACAGTTGCCATAACTCTGGGATTTCTGGAGCCACATGTTCACCAGAGAAACTGTTGAAATGGCCAGTGGGATAGAAGGGAAGGGTCTTCCAGTGTGTTCTAATAAATCTTACAGCAGCAGAGTGTTAGAACTTGTATTTCAAAACATATGTGTATTTTCAAGTGTTTTTCTTATGACTTGTAGGTCCGTTATTCTTGCCAACTCCTGGATTTCCTTCCAGGGAAAGTGGAGCAGCTGTGCTTTTTGCTTTCTGTCTGACCTGTTGGGAGTACATTTTGGAGCATGTTTGCTACTTAGCAGGGAACCAAAATTCAGGTACAACCCATTAAAAAAAAAAAGACAACAGGTTGATTCTGATTACTATGTCATTTTATCCAAGTTGATGTTTTCCTTATGTTACTGTTGGTGAGAATGGTTTCCCTGGTAATATTTATTTGGTGATTTTTAAGGAGTTTAAAACTTAAAAGTAATATTCATATGGTTGTTAAATTGTGCATTGAGTCATGCTCTATGGTAAAAGTAAACCTTTAAAAACACACACTTAAAAAGATGAATTAAACTTTTTTATGAATGCATTCAAATCAATAACATTTGTGTTTTGAAAATACTTTCCCTTCTAGGCACAAGAGTTTGTAAACATAAAGTGTGAATATGGGTGAAAAGAAGCCAGAGCCTTTGGACTTTGTAAAAGATTTTCAGGAGTATCTTACCCAGCAGACTCACCATGTAAATATGATTTCTGGATCAGTTAGTGGAGACAAGGAAGCAGAGACTCTTCAGGGAGGTGAGCTAATTTCAGGGCTATCAGATCTAATTTTTTTGAGACTGACCCCACTGCTTACATTCCAGATAATTACACAGGCTACTACAGTTGTGTGGAAGCATTTCTGATAGTTGTTTTCACCTCACCAAAGATATGAAGGTATCTTTGTTTTAATCAGGGTATATTTTTATAGTTCTATATGTTTAAAGACTAAGGGCGTAGAGAAGCAAAAGATATTTTGCAGAAGATACTCTTAGAGCAGGACAGGTGGTATCTCACTGATTCTTCATTGACATCTCTGTTGCATTGTTCACAGCTGGAACAGAAGGTGATCAGAATGGTCTGGATCACCCTTCTGTTGAAGTCTCACTGGATGAAAACTCAGGAATGTTGGTGGATGGGTTTGAAAGGACGTTTGATGGAAAGTTAAAGTGTCGATACTGCAACTATGCCAGCAAGGGAACAGCCCGGCTCATAGAGCACATCAGGATTCATACAGGTAGGAAATGCTCTGTGGTGCTTCAAGCAGGGTGGTAGTTCTTAGTTAACAATTACAATTGGGCTTTTGGGGGCTTAATATACCATTTTTTAAAAAAATGTCCCCTGTACCTGTCTAAATTATGCAAATTCCCACTTATATTTATTATTGCAGACTATTGAGTTGAAGTAACTGTCTATGGGAGGAAAGTTTATCATGAAAACATCACTATAAACTGAAGGTCCTCAATGTAACTTCTAGTTTTTCCTTGCTAATCAGAAAAGTGGAAAATGTACATCCTGGTACACAGAGATTTATAGGGGCTTTTCCTCCTGTGTTGACTATGAAAATGTACCTGTTGTGTGCAGCATTCTAGATGTGGAAGTACAAAACAGAGTAATAA